AGGGGGGGGGGGCGACAAAAACAGGGCTCTGAGCCACGTCCAGCTAGCACCACTATGTCTGCGTGTGAGACTGCAGGTTGATGACTACCTATTTTGTTATAAAATTCCACACTCTCTGAATGTAGTAACTTGGGGAATTATGTATAAATAATGCATAAAGCTATTTCGACCCTTTTCACTCACAGGGATAATTAAGAAAACCATCCCTTATCTTTCGTTGTGTGGTCAGTTTTTCCTTGTGTTTATCTCCACAGAAAACGAAAGTATGACGAGCAGCGACGATCACCTCCTGTTTCTGCATGCCCCAGACGGTGTTCAGTGGGCCAAGTTCTTGTCCAGCCGGTTGCAAGCCCCTGACTATGGTATCAAGAGTGTATTTCGTGAGATCAAAGAGCTACCCCCAGCGCCACCACCGCCGCCCCCTCCGCCACGAAGAAGTCCGTCAGAGAGGACGCCCAGCTTATCTTCTTCTAGCGCTGATACCAACAACAACGACAGCAACAGCAACAGCAACAGCAACGACGTTAATAACAGCTGTAGCGGGGGCCAGAAAATCACTGACGCTGACAGTAAGACAGACTCTAACAGCACTCATTGCAACAACAACAACAGCAGCAGCAGCAGCAACAAAAACAATAACGACGACAACAAAAATGAAAGCAGCGACAACAGCAATAAGAGCGGGACCAAAGGTTCCTCGTCAGACCATCCATCTTTTGCTCAAAGCATAGCAGACAGCCGGGCAACTGTCATTTTTCTAAGTCCTGAAATCATCGAAGACCCTTGTCCATTTCCGCTGGACGCAGCTTCCCTAAACCCCAAATCCACCGTGCTCCTTTTTCTGGGAGTCGAAATCGAGGAAGCGAGGACATATTTCGCTGCTGACAGTGACCATGTGTTCAAATGTCGTATATGTCTTATAGATGGTAGAGAGCCGTCTATCCTTGACGCTATGGTGCAAATTATTCATGCGTATGAAGACTGTGGTAGTGTCTTTGACGAGGACGATTACCAGGAGGAGAATAGCAATGATATTTACCACACACCACCCCAGCCGGTGAAGAAAAACCACGTGGAGAAAGTGTTTCCCAAAGTCTTGTCTCTGGTACGTGAAGCTGATATACCCAGTTTTCGGATGACTTTCGTCCGCATTTAGATGTTGTAGTTGTTGTTGCTGTTGTTGCTGTTGCTGTTGTTGTTGTTGTTGTTGTTGTTGTTGTTGTTGTTGTTGTTGTTGTTGTTGTTGTTGATGTTGTGTATGTATGTGTGTGTGTGTGTGTGTGTGTGTGTGTGTAGCAGTGTTTTGTAATTCTAGAGGGACTTGAGTGAGGAGTTTGGGTATGCACTTGGGGTAAGTGATTGGGACAGGTAGTTTTGGTAGTGTTCGTTTTTGTTTTTGTTTTGTTTTGTTTTTTGTCTAGTTGGTTGGTTGGGGTTTGCTTTGTTGTTTGTTTGGGGGGGTGGTGTTGTGGGAGGGGGGTAAATTTTAAAAATTGAAAATAAATGAACGTATCGAGAACCATCATTACGGCAACAAACTTCGACTTTGCCCATTTTGTCTTTCTTTTAAAGATAGATTCGACTCGGCGATAGACAGTGTTCGTCTTGACTTAGATCTAGAGAAGAAGAAGAAAAAGAAACCGTCTGACACTAGAACCATTCTACTTTTCTATCTGCCATTCTTTTCTCCGCGGACTCTCCTGACTTCCCACTCCTCGTGACTGCGCATAATCGCAGCGTGTAAGAAGTAAGAACAACAGACTGACGTCGTTATATTTGCTGATAAAAACGCTATTGTTTTCCCCCTCCTTTTAAGAATCCCGGGAACATTGTACTCCTTCACACTCCGCAGTTTGATACTGAGGTTGATGTTGGTTCCGCTTTCACCAGGTTGAGCGTTTTCCTAGGCAGTTTGGCGGCTTAAAGAAAATAGTAAATGTGTGTTGAGAAAACAGGCATTATCAAACAAAACCTTAATTAGCTTGCAGCCGATCCTTGAGGTAGTGTTGTTCATACAAAAGACAACAACATTGTAGGAGTGCTTTATGATAAGATATAACCTGCTCATCGTTGACAGACGTGAAAAATTTAACTACCTTGTTTTGTAGCATAGTTAAAATGGCGGTTGTAAAGAAACAACAGCGATTGTTATACTTAGCCACGGTATAATGCTTTAAGCCACAGTTCTAGGATACTAATGAATTGACATGGATCTCAAGATGAGTCATTATTACCTGAAACGGAATTTGCAACAAAAGAAGTAGTTGTATTGATGTGTATATAAAAAAGAAGAGCCTGGTTTCAAACAGTGTCTTTGTGTGAAGGCTAAACATAATATAGAATAATCATTAATAATAAAACTGAATCTGGTATTCATTGTGTTTGGGATTAACAGGTAAGAAGGAATGGTATCTTTGCCGGAAAGGTTTAAGTGTTGGTTCTAGACCTAGAAAATTAAAATTATGATATTTAAGAGTATAAAGACAATTTTATTTGCCTGGTGGTTAAAGGACAAACACTCTTGATTCGACCCAGATAGACATCGAGGGCCTATAAAATAGATGTATTTGCATGCTCTACTTAGGCACCCCGGTGCTTTGTCTTGTAAACCACTCGGAACCATTCTTCAACTTGATCCGTAGTCTTATATAGGGCAAGCTATTTGCTTTATGAATTATAATCGGAGTCTGGATTCCTCGTAAGTTTATATACTTCGATAGTTTACTTATGATAATATAGAGACCGTTCTATTATTTAGTTACTTTTGTGATATTACAAAGACATGGAAAGAGGGGTGTGCTTATGAGTGTGTGTGTTTGTGTGTGTGTGTTTGTGTGTGTGTGTGTGTGTCTGTGTGT